GGTCACGGCCAGCAGGAAGCCGGGCAGCGAGGCCACCAGGTCGGCGAGCTCCGGCCCCCCCAGCAGCTCTAGGGGCGCCCCCCGGCTCGGGCCTGGCGTGGGGACACGCGGGGACAGCGGTCAGCGCCCGCCCGGCGCTCCGGCGCTGCCCCTGCGGCCCCGAAGCGTCCCGATTCCCGGTCCCGGTCCCTGTCACCGATCCCGGTTCCCAATCCCGGTTCTGATCCCCAATCCCGGTCCCTGTCCCCAATCGCGGTCCCGATTCCCGGTCCCGGTCCCTGTCACCGATCCCGGTTCCCAATCCCGGTTCTGATCCCCAATCCCGGTTCCTGTCACCGATCCCGGTCCCTGTCACGATCCCGGTTCCCAATCTCGGTTCTGATCCCCAATCCCGGTTCCTGTCACCGATCCCGGTTCCTGTCACTGATCCCAGTCCTTGTCACAGATCCCGGTCCCGATTCCCGATCCCGCTTCCTATCACCGATCCCGGTCCCTGTCACGATCCCGGTTCCCAATCCCGCTTCCTATCACCGATCCCGGTCCCTGTCACCGATCCCGGTTCCCGATCCCGGTTCCTATCACCGATCCCGGTCCCTGTCACGATCCCGGTTCCGATCCCCAATCCCGGTTCCTATCACCGATCCCGGTCCCTGTCCCGCTGCCCCGCCCGGTCCCCGCCGCTCTCCGCGGTGCTGAACGGGAACCTCCGGCCGCTCTCCGCGGTGCTGCACCGGCCCCGGCCCCGGTCCCTGTCCCTGTCCTTGTCTCGGTCCCGGTCCCTGTCCCCGGTCCCTGTCCCGGTCCCCGCTCCCATCCCGGTGCCATCCCTGGAGCGGGTCCCATCCCGTTGCCGTTCTCTACTCAATCCCGGGCCCCGCTGCCATCCCGGTCCCGTTCCCGGCTGCATCCCGGTGCTGTCCCCGCTCCGTCCCCGGTTCCCGCTGCCATCCCGGTCCCGATCCCGGCTCCATCCCCGGTCCATCCCCGCTCTATCCCCGATCCCGGTTCCATCCCCGGTCCATCCCCGATCCCGGCTCCATCCCCGCTCCATCCCCGATCCCGGCTCCATCCCCGCTCCATCCCCGATCCCGGCTCCATCCCCGGTCCATCCCCGCTCCATCCCCGATCCCGGCTCCATCCCCGCTCTATCCTCGCTCTATCCCCGATCCCGGCTCCATCCTCGCTCCTGTTCCCCGCTGCATCCCCACTCCATTCCCGGTCCCCGCTGCCATCCTGGTCCCCTCCCGGTCCCCACTCGGTCTCCGGTTCCCGCTTGGTCCCCGCTCCCTCCTGGTCCCCGCTCCCTCCCGGTTCCCGCTCGGTCCCCGCTCGGTCCCCGCTCCTGCTCGGTTCCCGCTCGGTCCCCGCTCCCTCCCGATCCCCACTCGGTCCCCGCTCCCGGCTCGGTCCCCGCTCGGTCCCCGCTCCCTCCCGGTCCCCGCTCCATCCCCGGTCCCCGCTCCCGGCTCGGTCCCCGCTCGGTCCCGGCTCGGTCCCGGCTCTGTCCCGGCTCGGTCCCCTCCCGCTCCCTCCCGGTCCCCGCTCGCTCCCCGCTCCCTCCCGCTCCCTCCCGCTCCCTCCCGGTCCCTCCCGGTCCCCGCTCGGTCCCGGCTCGGTCCCCGCTCACTCCCCGCTCCCTCCCGGTCCCTCCCGGTCCCCGCTCGGTCCCGGCTCGGTCCCGGCTCGCTCCCCGCTCGGTCCCGGCTCGCTCCCCGCTCCCTCCCGGTCCCTCCCGGTCCCCGCTCGGTCCCGGCGCGCACCTGGCCGCAGGCAGGCTCCCTTGCGGGTGTAGATGCAGGCGAGCGCCATGACGTGCAGGTAGGAGAGGCGCGGCCGGTCCCCGTCGGGCAGCGGGAGGAGGTCGCGCAGGGCGCGGATCTGCGCGTTGATCTGGTCCCGCCGCGCCTTGGAGGCGCCTTTGGTGGAGCGGAGCATCCTCCGCCCGCGCCGCC